TGGAAGACTCTGGGTCTTGGGGCCACTTACCCATTTTCCTCTCTGGAACTCAGTTCAGGAAACTGCTTTTCTACTGCTGAGAGAAAAAAAAGAAGGATGTAGGAATGAGAAGTAGGGTGTACAAAGGGACTGGACTGGGATCCACAGGTCAGGATAAAGGAGCTTGTGCAAATGATATTCCCCAATAAGAATGATATAATGGACCACTAGTCCATAATGACATATATGAAGTATAGCAAATATTTGTGGAAAAGGAAATTAAAACATAAGTTGCAGCAGACATTTGGCCTGATAGTGAAGCCACCAACTGAGATTTTCATATCCCATATTGGAGTGTCTGGGTTCAGGTCCTGACTCCACTCCTGATTCCAGCTTCCTGCTAGTGAGAATTGGCAAGACAGAAGGTAATTGCTCAAACATTTGGTCTCCTGACACCTATATGAGAGACCGAGTTTAAGTCCCCAGCTCCCAGTCTGGCCTAGCCCCAGTCATTGCAGCCATTTGGAGAGTGAATCAGCAGATGAGAGCATGCTCTCTCTACTTCCTTCTCACTCTCTGTGTCTTTCAAATAAGGTAATATAAAAAGATAAACAAATTTTGAAATCCATGAATAATGAGGTTTTCAAAAAGCTCATGGAAAATGAGTATTATAAAAACATTATGCATAGATTTTAATATTTTTCATCAAAATAAGCTCATCTTTTAATCGCATTTTCCACAAATCTTGTTAAACTGTTGTGTGTCTCCCCAACCCTCAGAGGAAAAGACTGCATTCAAACAAGAAAAAACTGCATTTGCAGTGAGTCTCAGTCCTGCTCATTATCCCCCTCTTCTTTTTTTTTAACTTTCATTTAACAAGTATAAATTTCAAAAGTAGAACTTTTGGATTATAGTGGCTTTTTCCCCCATAATCTCCCTCACACCCGCAACCATCCCATCTCCCATTCCCTCTCCCATCCTATTCTTCATCAAGATTCATTTTCAATTATCCTTATATACAGAAGATCTACTTAGTATTTACTAAGTAAAGATTTCAACAGTTTGCACCCACACAGACACACAAAGTATAGAGTACTGTTTGAGTACTAGTTTTACCGCCCCCTCTTCTTAACGTCACGTAGAAATTTGTCTCCATTGGGAACACCGGGTCCTCTGGAGTAAGGTCTGTGCAAGATTGAAACTGCATGGCAGACCGATTTGTCCTCCTCTTTCCACCTCCCCACAATGTGAACATTATTCACAATCTTGTTTGCACAAATTGTCCAGTCTTCTCTTTTCCTCAGTGTGGCAGAAGTCTTCTCAGACCCTGCTGATCCTGTTCCTCACCGAAGCATGACCAAAATCTGGCAGCAAAAAGTCCTAGCAAGCACACTAAGCATGCAGTAGTACCTTTTTCTGGGACACATCTGCAGGACCCTGGATAAGTGAAACCCATGATGCATTCCTGGGCCCCATTAGAGTCCGATTTGAAAACTCATATCCTGGATTCTCACCTTTCATCTTGTTCTCCTGTTGGTCACCAAATTTTGCATTACTTTCCCTACCCACTCCTCCACCCCCATTGTTCTGCCACACAGGAATTTTCCCCTTTATGAACTTTCAGAATGACCTGCTTGTTATTTGCAAGTCACTGCTCATTCTTCTTCTTGCTGCAGTCTGTCCATACCTCCACCACTGGCCATTCCCCCAGCCATGGCAGCCTTGCTCCTAAACAGTTTCCTCCTTCCCACTGGTTCGACACAGACCTCCATCCACAGACATCTGATCTATTCTCTCATGATTCACTTAAGAATGGAGGTATATCACCATGAAAGGGAGATGAGCATTAACTGACACCCCCATCCGCCTGCTAATGTCTTTCCATAGAAGTTGGAAGTTCTAAACCCATGCTATATATATGAAATACATGACATCTGTATACCTTAAATAAAATTTGTTTAAAAAGTACCAAATACAAGGTCCCTAATGTCCATGCTGAGTTCAGAATGAAATCGAACAACTCACATCTTTGTTTCACAGACCTGCCTGTCACAGATTGTAGCCTGCTGGAAAAGATATCACAATTGCAAAACAGCCCCTCAGGTTCACCAAGGACAGTGCAAGCACACTACAAATATGTACAGATATGTGTTTTAAACCCTGACAACATGAGGACCCACTGAAATATCCTCATCTTCATTTTTTATGTTAGTTGTCATGGCTGCTACTGACCACAGGCAAAAATTTGGTGACATCCATTTTTTAATATTTTTTACATAATTATAATTTACAAGCATATTTACAATAATGAAAAGTTGAGTAGCTGAAAAAATTACCTTGAGCTCCTGATCATGAAAAAACGTTTATAAAATATTTGTTTCTGTATGAATCAAAGGGGCAATGAGGAATTTTGATACAAACTATATAGTAACTCGGATTAAAACCTGGCCACAGTTTTAATCAACTCAGCATTCATATCTTCTTGACTGTCTCATTGAAATGGGGTCTTATCACCAGGTAGAGAAAAGCTTCCTTTCTTAAGAACAATTAGTTCTATCATTACCAAGTAGGACAATGAATATATAAGCTTTAAGCACAAGCACCAAAACTGTGAGGTCTACTCAGGAAGAAAGACAACATATCAAGTGGACATTGCAAACTATTCGGAATATAGTAACACAAACTACAAATATTTATATAGTTCATGATTCCACTGAGCTGCAACTTAGACAGGATAAGCTGAATGGTTCTTCTGTAGGCTAAGTTCCCGCAGCCAGCTGTGGGTTGATTGGTTGGCTCTGCTGCCAGAAGTTGTCCAGCTGTCAGCAAAGCTGGCTCAGCTCTGCTCCCTGTGGTGTCACCCTCCAGAATGATAGCCTGGGTGTGACCTTATGACCAAGGCAAATTTCTGAGATAGAACAGACATGCATGTGGCCTTTAGAGGTTGTTTTAATTCTCTATTACCATAATACAATTACCATGAACTTAACACCTTGACACAGCATCATTTATTAGCTTACAGCTGTGTAAATCACAGAGTCAGCTCAATCTGACTTAGTATCCCCAGAATAAAATTAAGATATCAGTTGTCATCCAAAGGCTGTAGGGTGAAAAAAATCTACTGTCAGTCTCATCCTTGTTGTTGGCAGAGCTCAGTTCCTTGTGGTTGTAGGACTCAGGTCCCCATATTTTCTGTCAGCCAGAAGTCACTCTTTCCCCCACCAGAGCCGCCCACATCCCTTACCAGCTTACCGCAAAGCCTCTTTGGTCTCCAAGACAGCCAGGCTATGTGTGACTCCTTCAGATCTCCCACTGCCTCAGTCTCTCACTTCTAGACCCTTGTGATTAGATCATGGATACCAAATAACTGTTCTTCTTAAGGTCAACTCTTTGAGAAAATTTGTTATATATGCAAAAGGTTATTTGCTATATAAGGTAACATAATCACAAGAACAGCAGCTCATCATACTCCCAGGTGCTGATCACAGTCAAGGCATGGAGAAGGGGCATTGCAGATTGGTGTGGAATTCTGCCTCCTGCAAAGTCCTTAACTCTACTGCCTGCCCCTCACTTCTACCTCATTCTAAAAAAAAAAAACAAAGCAGATCAGTCCAAATTTGAAAAGTGGGGAAAAAGATTCTGTCTTTTGACAGAAAGAGCTACAAGATCACGTTGTGAGGGCAGCAGGCAGAGGAAGGGTGGAGAATTGAGAGAATATTTTGCAATCTGCGACAGGCCATACAATTGGGACTTGCTTAAAGTCTGGGCAAATGAACATCTATAGTAGCTCTTGCTGCTACAAGGTCACCTGCAGTGCCAGCCCACTTCTGATATTGGGATGAGAATATGCAAGGGTAGGCCATAAAAGGCAGGACACACTGTCCCCAGAAGCAGGCTAAGCCACCTTTATTTTCTGGCTCCTCCACTTCACAAAGCCTGGCTGTCTTCGCACCCTGATCTCTCACCAGTGCAATGCGATCACACACAGGGACTGTACCACACCTTGCTTCAGCCCCGAGTGGGAGCTTGCTGTTCCCAAATCACAACTGTACCACCACACCTCCCTTCAGCCAAGGGTGAGAGCTTATTCCCCCTAAACTGGAAGATGATGTGTTACCATACTCCCAGAAGCTCTGCCGGCTGTTTGTTCCAAAAAGAAAATATGAGAGAGGCAGGTGCAAAGGAAATAAAAGCCACAACAAGTCCAGATGAGAACCTCAAAACTGATAACTCAATTTCCTTTCACTTACTGATATTCCATGCTTCAAAGAGATTTCTAAGTCTTATCCTTATGATAATTCCAAACTGTCACCATGTATAAAACTGAGGTACTGGGGAGCTTTGAAAAAACGCTATCAATAAACTCAAAAAGAGACAAAAGTCTTAGTTAATAAAAAAAAAATAGAGTATTAGGACTGGCACTATGGCATAGTGGTAAAGCCACCACCTGCAGTACCGGCATCCCATATGGTTGCTGGTTCAAGTCCCAGCAGCTCCATTTCTGATCCAGCTCTCTGCTATGGCTGGGAAAGCAATAGAAAAGCCCAGGTTCTTGGACCCCTCCACCCATGTGGGAGACCTGGTTGAAGCTCCTGGCTCCTGGCTTCAGATTGGTGCAGCTCCAGCCATTGCAGGGATTTGGGGAGTAAACCAGCAGATAGAAGACCTCTCTCTCTCTCTTTCTCTCTCTCTCTCTCTCTGTATAACTTTAACTTTCAAATAAATAAATAAATCTTTTAAAAAATAGTTTCTGTCCTCAGGAGACATTGATCTACTTATTAAATGATTAAATGTTTTTGAGTCTTTAAGTGGAGGGCCAGAGAAAACAAGGCTTCAAAACTCTGCCTCCTTGGTTTTCTTTTTCTTTCCTTTTTTTTTTTTTCTTGAGTGCTGAAATCAAGGCCTATTTATGTTTACAGGGTTTTCAGAGTTAATTAGTTCATAGAATGCTAGAATTCTATGTTCATAGAATGCACCGTGTTTAGAAGGAAAGCACATTTAAAGAGTCCCCACAGCTGTCGAGAACCAGGCCTTTCTCTGCAGGCATCACTTTGCTGTCCTGGAATCTCGGCTAACTGGGCTAAATTTACCAAGCTCTGCGTAATTTCACAGGCCAGGTCTGCCAGAACTCACAGAAGTTTCCATGGCTGACTGGAGTCTCGCCCGTAATAGGCACCCAGCATCAAAGAGGGGTAAAGCAGATGACGCACAAAGCAAAGACTCCTTTTCAGAGAGAAACACGATGAAGAGTGAGTCGGGAGCAAACACTGAAAAGTGAGTTGCCTTGTTTTCACTTCTTTGATGAAAAAGTAATGTCAGAGGGTTTGTGGACTATCTCGTAGCTGCTTCTGATGACGTTCAGATCATTGCTGTGGGCGGAGAGCTGAGAAGAGCAATGACCTGCCAGCCACTGTGGGTCCCTTTTTATGTATTAATGTTTTGTCACCTTCCATGTATGTTATGCTATTGAAGTACCACTGGACATGCTCAACTTTCTTTTTTAAAAAAACTATTAGCTGAACTGAGCTGGTGGTCTCTATTATTTCCATATTTAAGCAATAAAGCAGTGTTTCGTTTTAAAACTCGTCATTTTTTTCCACTTAAGTTCATTGCCAAATCTTCCAAAAAGACAGCTGAAGTCTATTAAATATGTTGATCTCTATTATTTGAGGAAGGTGTTGGCAATCTTTTGAGGCGGGCTGTGACATTGCTGATGTGTTTTTCTGACAATGTAAGGATGACAAGAGAATGGGAAAGAAGCAGGGAACGGAGTGTTGATGTGGACGTGGGAATGTCTCCCCTCCCTGTCTTCCCTCTACTCCCCATCGGTCAGAATAGAGTCAATTTAAAGGGCCAGTGCCAGCTGTGACAGTTGAATCTATTTGGCCTTGACACTTGTATCTGCCTTTCAAAAATCTTTCTGTGACATTGGAACTAGCCTGGGCTCTCATTCTTAGGACTACGCATCCAAGGCACCACTCAACTTTCTGGACTCCAAATTAGTAAGGCCTAAGCCCCAAGACAATCAAGTGGAGATGGCCCTGCTCTCCAGTATTTTTGTATGGGCACTTTTGGAGTCACCTGTATTTACTATGGGGACAACATAGGCAGGATGTGTGCCCTCAGGGAGCTAATTCCTAGTATCTCTATGCAATTTGTTTCCCATGGTTTTTCTGATAATTCAACAGCCTGGCAGCCCCTTTGAGATCATTAGCAACATCCTAAACCTACATGGGATTACAAGCCACAGTGAAAAAATATATAAAGGTCTCCTTTTTCTGACCCTCCAGTTTACTTAAAGTGAGACCAAAGACTGCAAAATTAGGTATTCACAGATAGTCTTTGGAAAAATTAGTGACTGCAGCCCAAATATGTTGACACTCAGATTTCTGACCCCATTTGATGACCTAGAAAGCAACCTCCCTCTTAATTTTCTGTTGCAACACCACAGAATGTTTCTGTCTAGCATGACTAAAGAAAACAGCTCTTTCTCATTTTTGTTTTTCTCTCTGAGAATATGGAATTGGCCACTCAGTTATTACACTAAGGACTAGTAAGGACATTTCAAGCACAAGTAATTAAAATATTTCCTGAAGTTAGTATATTTTTGTTTGATTGTATTAGGAAGAGCTAAAAATAAGATGCTATGGATAAAAATAGAATTGCTCAGAATAGAGGGGGAAGAGTTAAGAGCAAATATTAAGATATGAGTAAAATGAAAGACTTCTCCACAACATTCTTTTTTTAAACTTCATCAGTTGGAAGAAAACTACATCTTCAAAGTTAAAAAACAAGTGTGTGAGCAAAAACTACGAGCCAGTCACCCTCTGGAGTGAGACTCCATCTAAAAAGAACTTTCCATGATGACAGAGCTGTTGTATAACTGTGCAATCCCATACAGTAGCCATTGGCCACACAGGTGGCCATTCAATTTTAGACAAAAAATCAATATAATTAACAATTCATGTTTTTGAATTTATTTGAGAGGCAGAAAGCAAGAGAGAGCCCACATCTTCTGGTTCACTCCTCAAATAGCCACAGTGGCCCTCTGCTATGGCTGAAGCCAGGCGCCAGGAATGCAACTGAGGTCTTCTGCTTAGGTGCCAGGGACTCGGTCACTTAGGCCATCACTGCCTCTCAGGGTCTACTGTAGCAGGAAGCTAGAATTGGAACAGAGCCAGGTATTGAACTCCAATGCAGGATGCAGGCATCTTAACTGCTAGACAACACCCACCTCCATCCAGTGTCTCAGTCCCAGTAGCCACATTTCAAGTGCTCAATGTGGACATGTGCCTAGGGGCTGACATATCATTCAGCACAGTTCTAGAACCTAGGAAAGAAGTTTAGGGACACAGTAAAAATAAAACCCAAGTTTTCCAAATATGCTATAAATGGGAAATGTTTTCCAAAAGACCTTCATAAAGCATGAAAAGAAAAGTCCATTTTGTGTCATCTGGAGGCTTTTGTCCTCTTTCCATCAAGTTTCAACCAAGAGTTAAAACAAGTTAGCTGTACTTTTCACCCCAACACCTTGATCAAATTCTCAAGACTCCTCCAGAGAGTTCCCTCCATATGCATTTTACACAGTCTATCTACAGAAAGCACATTTTCCAAGACCCCAGTGTATGTTTTGCATGCAAATCTCCTTTCTGGTCCTTTGAGGGTATTTATAATGGGAAGTCCCCCTACCTTAAGCCTGTATAGTGTAGAAACCACACTTTCCAAGGCTGCTCAATAAAGCAGTTTTCTCTTTTTATTTGTGTCTGTTTCTGCAGCCCAGAGCATGCAATAAGATTTCCAAACTGAGAAGAAGGATGAAAATAAACAAAGTCCTTTATTGTACAGGTAAGCCTTTAGACTGGCTTCATTTCCCCCATGTGAGCTGACACAAAGCACACACTCATTGATTTCTTTCTACTTTTCAGCTACCTGAGTATCCCAATTCATGTATGGATGATAAAGTTGATTCATCAATTAGCCCATGCAAAATATATCCAATCTAGCTTGAGACGTTGATGAAACAGAAGATACCCTTAACCAGCCCCAAAATAAAGTATTTAATCTCTACAATGTTCTCTCTGTAAGATTTATTTATTTATTTGAAAGGTAGAGTTACAGAAAGGGCAAGGCAGAGGTAGAGAAAGAATCTTCCATCTTCTTGTTCACTCCCCCAAATGGCTGCAAAGGTCCAAACTGAGCCAAGCCAAAGCCAGCAGCCAGGAGCTTCATCCGGGTCTCCTATTTTTGGATGCAGGGACCCAAACACTTGGGCCATCTTCCACTGCTTTCCCAGGCGCATTAGCAGGGAGCTGGATCAGAAGTAGAGCAGCCGGGACTTGAACTGGTGCCCATATGGAATGCCTGCACTGCAGGTGACAGTTTTACCCACTACACCACAGCACAGGCCTATCTACAATGTTCTTAGAAGCTTAGAATTTAAGTGCAGCCCTAAGCTTTCAAATTTCTATTTGCCTCACAAGAGGTTCACCAAAGTGAATTCCTGGGAATGACCTGCCTTATTTTGGAGTCTGTTCCAGTCTGGATAGGTAGGAAAGGAGCCAGTGGGTGCATCCCCAAGAAGTGAACTCCTTCAAGAAGCAAACCAGGTCCTCAGATGTCCCCTGACATGGCCCTGACTATCCCATTTTTTTCTGACTTCCACAGGTGGATTTATTTATTCATCATTATTACCTATACTTGGACTGTCTCCAACCAGAGACCAGACATTGGCAAGTGGCCTTGAGCAAACTATATTTAAAATTAGCTTCTCTGGAAACCATTGATAAATATATTTATAATACATTCCCCTTTTGAGAATTAGTTAATGGAATTTTTAGATACAAAACACTGTTCATAAACATCTCTCCCTCCCTCAATGTAATTACTCACAGAATCTCTTTCCTAACCTGATTTGTTTGCTCAGCAAACACATGCTTTGGTCTCAAGATACCTAAAGCACATTTGCTCTATTACATCATACTTACTGGGAAACTTAGGAAGCAAACGCAACCCCAAGCCTAAACTCTTATTCCTCAGATCAAATACAAATTAGATGGCCCCACGGAAAGAAATAACAAAAAAATGCAACTTGCCAGAGCCAACATTACGATTAGGTCCATCTCTAATGTGAAGCTCATGTCTGTTCTGTGTCCCACCCAACGCAACCTGCTATTTCACCTCCAAAAGAGATGACACAAGCTCACACTTGGCACAAACAAAAAAGCAGCATTGAATTTAAAAGACAAGGGAGGGAAAATTGTCTGTGGAGTGGTTCTAATCGAATTCAGAGGATTCCTTGGAGGGAAAGCAAGTTCAGCTTTTGTGGCCCTCAACCAGATGTGTCTGTCTCTGTAAATAAAGTTTTATTGGAACACAGCCCCATCAATTTGTGTGTGTATTGTCTGTGGCTGCCTTCAAGGTGCAGTGCAGAGCTGAGGATCTGTGACAGAGACTGTGTCACCCACTAAGCAGAAAATACTTACTGTCTGGACCTGTACAGAAAATATTTGCTGACCCCTGGGTTAAAGTTTTACCTTTTCCTGAAAACAAAATGATGGGAGTTCCTTCAAACAGCTATTTTTAAATGTTTCTTTACATTCATTACAGGGATCATCTGTGCCTCAGTCTCAAAGCACTTCTCAGTCTCATCACTTTTTTGTCATAATTTCTGAGAATAATTCTTTCTTTCTTAATACTTGGCAAATTTCTCTTTGAGACTTGAAAGAGCCTTGGGAACACCTCTGAGATTAAATTCCAAGCCATGTTTAAATCTAACAGTGGGTGCTGCAAGTGCTGGTGGCCAGAATAACAATGCCTCAGCCTCCAGGCTTGTCAGGGACAGGTTGCTGACTGCTACTTTGTCCTGGACGGCCATGGGAGTAAACTTGAAAAAACAGGCATAATTGCTTTTCCAAATTTTCACCATAAATAATCATTTTTAAAAGGTTCCAGTAACTTACCCACTAGGAAAAAAGAAAAAAGGGGAAAAAAGTAAAATGGGATACTGACATTGTGGGTTTTGCTCTAAAGCAGCCATGTGCAATGCCATGCTGCCATCTGCTGTATCTCTTTGTTTTCACCTGAATGTAGGAATCTGAATCAGCTGTACAGACACAGGCCCAATCTACTGAGGGAGAAAGCTTTTGCCAGAAAAACTCTTCCAGTTACAAGCCAAAGTATTCTCTTATTTTGTAGTGTTCCTTCTTCTGCATCCACATGACACCAATTTTATGTCTTCTCTTTCCCGATAATTTCTTAGGTATGCATAGTGATGTTAAATGTCAAAATACGAGTTGAAGAGGCCAGCATTGTGACGCAGAGGATAAAGCTGCCACCTGCGACAACAGCATCCCATTTGCGTGATGTCCTGCCTGCTCGACTTCTGATCCAGCTTCCTGCTAATGGCCTGGGAGAGGCAGCATTAGATGGCCCAAGTGTTTGAACTCATGCCACATACATAGGAGATCCAGAAGAAGCTCCTGGCTTTGATCTGGCCAACCCTGGCCATTTCTCTCTCTCTCTCTCTCTCTCTCTCTCTGTGTGTGTAACTCTGACTTTCAAATAAATTAATTAATCTTTTTAAAATATATGAAATGAATTCATGTGCCATACCTGTCAGAAGTACAATGAAACTCTTCAAAATGGGGATGGCAGAAAAGAAGAGAAGTAGTAACACTTGATGAATGACATGAGTGCTGATTGATCTGTACCAGAGATTTCATTTAATTAAAGAATTCACTACATCCATGACCACCAGGAGGAGAGTGGAGTCGAGAACAGAAGATGGTGAGATGATCCTAGCCATTAAGGCTGCTTTTAAGGGATAGAAGTAATCCATCGATTTCAGGAAACAAAAAGTAATGCGGCTTCAAATTTGGCCTCTTACGTCTTTACCAGAAAATTGGTGCCTTGAAACTACAGTGTCACTGTGACTACTGAGAAGTCTACCATTCTGAAGCTATCTAATAAGGGAGAGACTAAGTAGGTGCCAGCCAAACCTTCCCCAGACATGGTATTTAAAACGTGTGCTACAGACTCAATCCAGGTTGAGTAAGATAGACCGACATTGAGCTGCCCTTCTGGAAAGCTGTCTGTGATTAATTGCTGAACACTTTCATCTACAGTATCTCCTGAAGGGGAGAGCCCAGGAGGCAGATCATTCTCGGATCTTCTACAGTTTGGCCTCTGCTGGAACCCCTTAGCAATCGATCTTAACGCTTATCTCCAAGCTATTTATTCTTAACAAATGGAGCCACCACTCCTATTTATTATAATTCCTGCCATGTGGGAAGCGTGTGCTTCACACATCATCTTACGTGATAATCACATTTCAAGCTCTTCAACCACATAAATGCATTTACAGAGTGCAATTTTAGACAAAAATGGTTATAGGCTATGTAAACTATATAAAATCTGGTTTTTAAAACCATTTGTTTTGTGCTTTTAGAAAACCCCATATGCTACAAATTTTTAAAAAGTGAATTCTAAACTAAAAATCTTTGTGTTTTATTTTGTTCTGAAATTTGGCAACAGTTGACATAGTCTGACCTTAGGAATATTACATTGTAGCTCACAAGCTGATTCATTTTTTCACTGAGAATCTTCAATCAGAAAGCATATAGTCATGAACAATTCAACTGGTTTTGTTTTGTTTTGTTTTATAATTCAACTTTTAGGGATCTATTTTCCAAGACAATAAGCATCTGCTTTGACAAAAATGTATTCTCTGTGTATAGGAAGGGTGCCAGTAAAGAGCAATTGCTCCTTATAAGTCTAATTCCCAACATTCCAGAAACATGGGAAGCACACATGACTTTTGGGGCTAGATTTGAGAGTTTAGAAGCAGGGCCTGGCCCTGTACACCTTTTGTGGTGCAATACTGCCATCTGGCGGTCGATATAAATTATTTCAGATATAGTTGCAGAGGGCGACTACTCTAATCCTTAAGGATATTTCTAGTCTGCTTTCAGATATATTATGACTCTCCAGATCTCTAGAAGACACACAGAGAATGTGCTTTCGAGCCCTCAGCTCTGTCCCGCTCTGGCTGCGCCCCTCCCCACAGATCAAGGAGTCCTGGAGCTCGGAGGTAGCCCCCACGCAAGCCCAAGCCCCTTTCTGCAAGCTCCCTGCCCTCAGCTCACCTCATCAGCAATTCCTTAGGAATGCTCCAATGTTCCCACTGTGCCTGAGTTGTTAATGAATAACAGTGCGCTGCCGTTTCCCGCATATTACTTGCATTTGATCAGCTTCCCGACATTCCACCCACCCCGTCTCACAATAATAATGAAAAACAATTTTTAAGATATAAAAACAGGTCCTCGAAGTAACTTTTCAAATTCTACCCTCGAGTGTGCAAGAACGGTGAAGCATTTTCCAAACCTTAAGTCTCCACTGCCACCTTCAGGATGCTTGTGGTAACAGCAGGTACTAGAATAGTGGCTGACTGGGGCACATGTTCTGGTACCAGCAAGAGAACTTGGTTGAATCTTGTAATTGAACCAGGTGAGAAAGAAGCAGATGCCGTTTAGTTTATGGCATTTCACAAAATCTTGGAACGCATTTTATTTGCCACTCTGCTAGACAATAGAATTAAAAAAACAGGTAACACTGTATGTAATGTAAATAGAAATCTAAGAGCTTATAAATGTAACTGTATGTTACCTATATAATACATATACCAAAACTCTATGAATATAAAATTTATATACGCATGCCCCACACTAAGGACAACTGACACATCTATGGGGCTTTTGATGTGACAGGCTGTGATCTGTGTGCTTTATCATTGTTAACATGTTTCTACATTCTTAATTGCCTCAATAACTCCATGGAGGTAGCTATTACTATTAAGCCTACCTATTTTACAAAAGGGGAAACTGAAGTTCTGAGGAGTTTGCTTCTCTATAGTCACATAGCCAGTAAACGGCAAAGTCTGGACTTGAGCCTGGCTGTCTGGCTTCAGGGTCAGTGTTCCTTGCCATTGGATGAACCCTGCCTTTTCGGAACAGAGAGAAAGCAGGGTGGGTGCTGTGGGTAGCAAAAGCAGGCAGAGAACCACTTGTCCCTGGATGTGGTGATCACTAAGCTATGGAAGCTCTATGCTCACTATGGTACTTGCTAGTAGGGAGGAAGAAAACAGAAAACAAATAGTTTTAAAGGAAATCAGAATAAGACGATCTGATTTTAAAATGGCTGAAGGACTATTTTATATCAAGCAGTTTAAGAAGAGATTATATTAAGCTATGGCCAGTCTAAAAATTAATTTCAATCTATCTCCATGCAGATCTGTGGGGAGTATTCCAGACACACCTGCAGATTTAAGGCAAAGCTCCTGAGAGGGGTTTGCAGTCTGGACACACCGCAGGTCCACAATTAAGGCTCATTTGTCAGGAGTAGAGGGGAAGGAAGAAAAGCAAGCAGGGAGTTCTGAGAGCCAGACCTGGCCAAAGATGGACGGCTTGATAAGCCACACCAGGTGCAGGATTTTATTCCAAGTAGGAAGAGGAACTACGGAACAACTTTGAGCTTATCACAAAAGATCACTCCAGCTGCTCTATGAAAATAGGATTGGCAGGAGCACAAAGTGGAATCAGAATCCTGAGTCAATCATCAGTTGCATGGGAAGCGAGATACACAGCAGACTCATAGAATGGCAGATGTCCTAAACAGCACTCTGGCCTCAGAATCAGCCCTAAAGGCATTCGGATCTGGCTGAAAAGCCCATGAGAGTATTTC